TGATATTGATTTTAAAAAAGTTTATTTATTTTGTTTAGCTCGTGCAAAAGAAAAAGCGCCTTGTATTATTTTCATAGATGAAATTGATTCGGTTGGTTCGAAACGAGTAGCCGATGCCATGCATCCTCATGCTAACCAGACAGTTAATCAGGTTTGTAATACCGTTTCATGATGCCTGTGTATAATACATTACCGATGATGTGTTTAATGATATGCGAGCATCCTCGATTTTTACAGTGACATCAATTTTCGTCCGAGATTCGTAACATTCGTTATTCTTTTATAATGTAAAATGTTAATATCGGACTGAGAAAATTAGTGCTCTTATTTAGCTTCTTTCTGAAATGGATGGATTCAATACAAATGATGGTGTTATCGTTATCGGAGCTACAAATCGAGTAAAAGATTTGGATCCAGCTCTTCTTCGTCCTGGTCGTTTCGACGTTCAAGTTCAAGTTCCTTATCCTGACTTAGAAGGGCGCAAAGAAATTATACAGTACGCTTTTTCTAATTAAGATTCATTTTTTATCGCCTCCTGCACACTTCTTGAGCATTATTTTTTAGGTTATACCTAGGTAGAATATCAGTTAATGACGACGTAAATGAAGATGTATTAGCTAGAGGAACAACGGGTTTTACTGGAGCCGAAATTGAAAATATGATAAATCAAGCAGCGCTTAAAGCTGCAGGAGATGGATTTATGAAAGTTACTATGGCACACATGGAAGAAGCGAAAGATCGTGTTATGATGGGTAAGTTTTGTTATTTCAACTTTAAACTTAGCCTTTTCTTCACATTTTTTAATGACAGTTTTTATAATTTCCGATCAAAATAATGCACTTTCAACTATCTTACGCTCAACGATATATCTATATCTTGACTTAAGAATAAATGCAAAATCATCGATGAAATTTTTTTTAGGACCGGCACGAATTCGTGGTCGACTGCCAGATGAGGAAGCTAATCGTATTACTGCTTTTCATGAAGCAGGTCATACACTTGTTAGCATTTACACGAAACATGCAATTCCTGTTCATAAAGTGACAATTATACCAAGAGGTGGCTCATTGGGACATGTTAGTTTTTAATTTTCCTTTTATTAAGTTTAATATGAAATTACTGCTGCATCATTATATAACTTTTTTTGCAGTAGAACTTTTTAAAACGTTGCGGAACTAATCACACATTTATCACTACACTTTCGAAATGTGTTTCTTTGTTATAGACATCTATGTTACCGCAGAAAGATGAATATCATGTGAATCGGGCCCAAATGTTGGCACAGCTGGATACTTTAATGGGTGGTCGAGTAGCTGAGGAGCTTATTTTTGGCCCCGAAAAAGTAACTACTGGTGCTGGTGATGATTTGAGGAAGGCAACAGAACTTGCAAAAAAAATGGTCAAAACTTTCGGAATGAGTGATAAGGTTAGATTAGATTACAGCTTATGATTTATACTCTGATCCAATTTGATTTTTTTTTTCACCAATGATTCTTTTAATTTTTTCATGCGAAGATTACGGAGTTTTTTGAATGAGGACTGAAATACTTTAAATCGATCACCCATTAAGAAAAGAACCCATCAATCTTCTAACCAAACTTCGTTCAGATACTAAAATTTTAAATATAATGGAATACGTAAAAACGGCCAGTGGCTTTCTTTTTTTCGGCTTGGTCTGTTTCTGGTACGTAACGAAATTCTAATGATGAATTTTTTCTTAGGTTTTTGAGAATAACTTCAAACGGTTTCGAATTGAATTACTCTTTTATTTTGGGAAATTGCTGATGGTTAAGTTTGTCGCTTTAGGTGGGTTTGAGGATCGCAGATGATGAATCGAGATCATTGATAGCTGACAATCATCTGAGTTCACCATTATCAGACATAATTGATAAAGAGATCAGTCGCTTCTTGAAGGAATCTTACGAACGTGCAAAGGACATACTCATCAAACATAAGGTTTTAATTTTATAAATTATTCAAAATAAGTGTTATTGATTTGAGAACAATTATTAATTTGTGGATGAGCTTAAAGTGTGAAGTTCTAAGATAGCGATGGATGAAGTTGTGTTTGTGGGTTACTGAAATTGATTTTGGGATTCAAGCTTTTTATTGAAGAACTTTTTTAGCCGGTTTTTTTGTCATCTGTTCTTTTGCAGAAAGAACACGAACTTTTGGCTGCAGCATTACTGGAACATGAGACATTATCAATAGAAGAAGTGAAAGAATTACTTCAGAATGGCAAATTGCTTTCACATGCTACCGAAAAACACGAAGAATCGAAAAGCAGGAAACCATCCACACGATATATCTATAAAAATCCGAGTGTTATTATAACGCCAATCGATGAAACTATTGCGAAAGAGGAAAGACAGATCTAATAGATAAATGCAATCGCTAAATGACGTTTGTTAGTCAATTATAAGCAGTTTCACTTTAGCTTTCAACATATTTTATTGACACTTTTTATAGATTTGCACGCAGTTTTCTTTCAGTTTTTAATTTTACTCGCATTTTTTTAAATTCATACTTTTAGGTGATAGTAATTCAAACATATCTAAGTTGTTTCTTCACTTTTATCGGAATAATTAGTCATTTAGATTATTGCATTCAAAAACACAGTAACAAAGTAAAATTAAAATTGTTTAAACTCTCAACTTATTCAAAGTTTGTTAGATAAGAGAAAAGGACAATAAGGAGGAGAGGATCGTACGGAGTATGTAAGTTACCTAACTTATCTTGAGCATTTATGATGTGTTGTAAACTGTTTGTATATAATTATCTCTTCATTCTGGACTTTGTGAAGGCATCTTTGTTACTGATATATGTTCATAAGTACTAGAAAATTAATAAAAATAACAAGTGATGAAATTACTGAATTAATTCTGTGATGCAATGAGTTCTGTTCGACTGCGCATGTAATATTGCTTAATTATGGTTCCAATCAGACTATTGTTATTGCGATTTGCTCAGATGGAATCAGAATTTGCATTAAAAAGAATATGTCGTAAGTGTTGTTCTAAGCATCAGTGGGCAGTAAGTTGTAAAATAATGTATAACTATATGCAAGATATAACAGTGTTGAAAGCGTAACATTTCTTCCAGTGTGTCATTTTAAACAACGCCGATTATGAGAGGAGAATGGATAGTGGTCGAGGGCGTAATAAACATTTTTATTTCTAGAAAAGTCCTATTGTGATAACTGATTATTGGAGCAGCTGGGTGCCAATTTAATGCCTAAGTTTGAGTTTATTGAATGTTTCAGTCCAAAATCTGTTGTGTCCTGAAGCGTCCTGAAGCGGAAGTTTTGGGACGTTCAGCATAACAATTCATGGGATAATTGAGAGTGGACAGATTTATTGCATATGTGTTGCTGACTGCTTTTGTTGTTTTCTTTTGTGATTACATGCAAATGATACTGCAGTGTTGTTAAGGTTGTGTTGATGACTGGTGGCTGAGTATTGTTGAGATAATGTTTGTTTTATAAATTAATTGAATAGGGTTTATGGTATTTCTATGACATTTTCTTGATATCCGTTCTGGAGGAGAATGAAAGATGACATATGGTTTGTCCCTGTGAATAGCATAATCCGAGCACAGTACTCACATTTATTACTATTTCCATTCTCTGCGCCAAATTTAATTTTTATTTTTATTACTGCAGTCATTTACTTCCGAGCATACTATCTCTTTACTGCAACGGGTGATGAATTAAAAAGGACTACTTTTTCTTCATTTATAGTTCCAGTATTCACTGAATTCAAGATTCAAAATTTATTGAACATCATAAGATGAAATTGAAGAATATTAAGCTGTAAGTGAAGATGAGGCTAAGATGAAAGTCTTGGTGGCAGAAATCGAATTGTTCTAGATTTACACCGCCTAGGATCTAGCTGATTTGAAGAGAAAAAATTCTTACGGGATTATGCTATATAAATAATATGTCCCGTAGACATAGTGGTATGAGTATAATCTCAATTCAATGAATTGCGCTGGGGAAAAATTGGAGCTTGATGATTGATGTTATAAGCAAAAAATTCTTTCTATATTTTAATGCAAGTTGAACATGAAAAGATAATATGTATGCAATGATGCTCAAGTTTCCCTCTCCCATAAAGATGATAATCACTGGTTACTAATCCCTTCGTGTATATTATTCATCTCATTTAATTATAATTATTAGTACAAGTATTATTCATTAAATTATTATGCTGAATTTCATTCTATCATTTCCCCATATATATATATATATGGTAAAATGATTCTAGTTTCACTTATTATTACACTTTATTATTTATTCGTCAAATTTGTTATCCATTCTCTATTCAGCTTATGTATGTACTATTTCTCCGAAAAGTTTGTCAATCTCAGCAATAAATGATTGATTTAATGATGTGAGATTACAAGTCAAATAGCCTTGGGGAATATGTAAATGTTGTTTCCTTCTCGCCAAAGAGATTATTTCATTAGCATCCTTAAATTTCATACATCAGCTATTAGCTATTTGAATTTGTTAAAAGTAAAGAAAGGAAAAAGGAGCGTTGAAAATGTTTTGATAGTAGGTAATAGATGACAAGACGTTGACGTGTCAAGCAAGTTTTGAACTATGGACTTCTTTTATCGAAAAAAAATTTCGAAATTATTCTTTTCCAAAAATGTAAAGGTTTGATGACAAGCTCCGGAATGCTGCCTAACTAGAGCCAAACAAACGATTTGGCTGAGCTTTGCAAAAAGTTTACATAACTAAAACGGATTCATAAAATGGCCGAATGATCTGTGATACAATTGTTCAAAATCAAGTGCTATTCTCAAATTATTTGTCTACATGGATTTAAAAAGTAAATTTTAAGGCGCATTATTGCTACACACTTTAAGAATAATTTATTAATCATTATGGATGAATCTCACTCTTTGACAATAGAAAAATTGAATAAGGAGATAATATTCTTTTTTATAAGCAGTGACAAATTTTGAAATAAAGTTTTGAGAAAAAAGTATGGACGATGGAACAATTCGTCCTGGAAGATGTGAGCCTACATACTGTGCATAGTGAGCTGAGCAGGTGTTCTAATGAAGCTAACCGGACAGTTATTCTGAACAAATATACATGTTTATGTGATGTGTTTTGTGTCTCGGAAGTATGTACATATCTATCAGCAACCGGAATAGGAACAGAAAAAGGACAAGATAGAATATGCAAGTCAGTGTGCATGTTTATGGCAGGCCTATGAGGTTTTATTGATTTTGAAAAGAGTGCGGAAGAGCGCTTATTGGAAAGATAAAAGAAAGGAGGATACCCGGAGAGTAGGGAAAAGGATAAGGTCCAGTGCTATTTCTTCCCATCCATTCCTTTATGAATTGAATTCTTCCTGGAGCATAATGCCTGATTCATGATAATTTAGAAAACTTGATTGGTCGGTGACAGTTCCTTCCCTACTAACATTTCCGGATATTCAATTGAACGATTACAAATGTAAACTCCTCAACTCCAATATCATCGAAAATAACAATGCATCATGTCCCGCGTTACTTCAGGTTAGCTTGTAATACACATATGTGTGAGAAATTTCATTTAAAATGTTCCATTTGAGATTTAAAAAATTTTTTTGTATTGTACAGAAATGTCTCTGTTCAGCAGAAAGTTTTGCAATTCCTATTCTGCTATTCTAAACAATGAATACCTGTTTCTTTAGTTTTATCATTTCAAATCATAATTGATTAACTGGGTTAACAAGAAAGCTTTCTACTAATGAAAGAATTGGATATTAAAAATGATCCTACTGGGCGAATTTTTTCGTACACTTTTTTATCACCATAAAAAAAATTGCCGACGCGGTTCGATTGATACTTTAATAATTTAAGCAAGTGGAAATGGACAAATAAGAAGTAAAAATTCTAATATCACTAATTAAATATGACGAACTTATCATTCTGTTATCAAAATGTACATTTTTAAACAAGAAGATGGATAAATTAGCTTACCTGCATTGTTCCGACTCAATTAGGTGAGTGTATACTTATTTTATATTCCTGGCCCTAGTAAGCCTAAACACTAAGGGTCTTTTTACAAAGTTGTGTTATCTCTGTTAACTAAACAAATGATTTGATATTAAAATATCCGATGTAATAATATTCATGAAGTCTCAAGTTAATAAAGGCCAGTAGAAAGCCATTAAATTTTTGAATGAGCTATATAAACTTTAAAAAAAAAAAATAAAAATAAAATAAAATAAGCCCATTCGCTTACCTTCAAAGTCTTAGCTTTGGTTAAATTTAATCCGTATTTACTATTTATTTATGTAAAATTATCACATGATGTTTCTATAAATGAACTATAGTGCATGAGTTTTGCACCTTCTATTCCCTTAACGCTTGGTAAATTCGTCACTTTCTGTCTCATCTTAACAAGGATTAAAAGGAAGGAGTATTAGGCAAGTATTAGAAAATAATGCTAAGCATTGGAACCTTTGCTTCCGCTTTTCATTTCTAAATTTTTTTGTGGCAAAAAAGTTGGCTACTTCGTGTCAGAACTGAAAAACTGAAATAGAAGTTCTATATAAAACAGCACAGCTATAGTGGATTGAAATTAGTCAACTATAAGTAATTAGTTTTCACAACTGAAGGCATTCAATTAATCTATTTAAATTACTGTTATGCTGACACTTTCATAAAGTGATGCATGCTGATCACTTTTCCTATTTATTTATGTACAAAATGGCTGAGCTTCCCTTCTTGTAAGAAAACACCAAACTTAAGTTTGAATCTTAAATTTGAAAAAGATGAAATTTCTATATGTAGGAGTGATGACGAAATCGCCTGCACATTGAGAATTCAGCAGCGATTTCCGATTGTATATGGGCGGTAGATGCTCAAGAAGAGCACCAAGTCCAACGCATCCGAAGCTATCTGATTTTCTTATGATACGTTCTATTGGTAGAGGAGCATTTGGCAAGGTTTGCTTACTTTGATTCATTCTTCGATTTCAAAATGATTTCGTTTCCGATCTTAAAGCATTCATGGAAACTTCTATAATCTTTAAAGGGAAGCAATTCAAAGTTCTTTGAATTTGTTTTTTTATTTTGTTTTAAACTTTTTAATTTGAATCTTATGGTTGTCGTCCTAAATAATTTAGAGCATGTTTTAGGTTTCTATTGCGCAGTATCGTCGAACAAAGAAGTATTATACGTTTGAATGTATAAATAAAAGGCGCTGTGTTCAATATATGATAGCCGATAAAGTTTTACATGAATTAAATTTATTGGCACATTTATCACATCCTTTCATCGTCAATTTGTGGTTTGCTTTTCAGGTAATTATTTTTTACCTGAATTCAGAGATTAGATTTTAAAAAAGCATTTTGATCAAAAGATATTCTTCTTTTCTTTTTACTCGATTTTGTCTCGCAGACTTCATTATGTAAGGTCAGCGCAATTTTCGCTCAAAATATTTTAGAATATTTTTTCTTCCTAAAATTTCGAGCAAGTTAAAAAAATTTACCTGAATGTTGGGTAAACAGATAGCACATAGTAGCTATTTAAAAGATTATTTCTATCATGATTTGAAATAATGTTTAGCGTATCACTGAATTCAAAAACATTGAGTAAAAATACTGAACTACCTTTCTGAGCGACGGGGATGTCCAACGAAATCAAATTCTTATTCACTTTTCTACTCGGAATATTTTCAATTACTAAATCGAAGAAAGCTCAAAATTATTGTCTTTAGCAACTCTTATTTCGTTCTGGAGATTGTCCGTCATCTGTGGTATGCTAAATATAATTTACATATTACCTCTATATAATGGAAGCTATAACTTGGGAATTAATAGTGAATTTGTACACTTCCGGTATAGTTAAAATTTAATACGTTAAACTTAACTTATTTTGAAAATTGATCTTCTAGGATGAGCGCTACATGTATATGGTGAGCGATCTAATATTGGGTGGGAACCTAAGGTACCATTTAAATCAGCATGGACGATTTGCCGAAGATCGGTAAGACCTCATTATTTATAGTCTAGCTTTCAAAAAGATCTTTTCTTCGTTTTCAACCAAGTAATAATGGATAGGACGATGAACTAAGTAATTATTCAATTATAATGATTGATATTTATTGTGTCACTGACACTGACATATTTCTAATCATAGAAAGAACATAGAAGAAAATATCGCTGACTTTCTTTACTGCTACAATAATTAATTGTGATGTGATGTTCAGTTCAAAGTTGTACGTTTATGAGATAGCACTGGCGCTGGATTATCTTCACAGAGAAATGATTATACATAGAGATGTGAAACCAGAAAATATCTTGTTGGATGATGAGGGACATGCACACCTCACTGACTTCAACCTGGCCACACGCCTTGCTCCCAATACTTATGCTACCTCATTCTCTGGTCAGTAGTTCCTTAATGCTTTGTTGAATTTGTACATCGTTAGTTTCTCTGTACGTAACTCACTTATGTTGACGTGATGTGACTTCTACTCCAAAGTATCCTTTTCATTTATCAGATTGCAGGCATGAAATGAATTATGAGTTTTATGCATTGCAGGTACACGACCATATATGGCACCAGAGATTCTACTTTGTTCTCTAGGTTATTTGGCTGGCTATGATCATCGTGTTGATTGGTACTCTCTCGGTGTTTGTTTTTATGAAATGCTCATGGGACGAAGACCCTTCGAATATGCTATCCATTCGTCTTCACAACAGGTAATAAGCATCTTAACTGATACTTGGCAGTATTAGCATTGTTCAGCACCAAAAAAAGAATAAGTTCGGCTAATGTTAAATTTTAGGAGACAGTTCAGAAAGTTTTAACCAGTTTTGGTTCTTCAGTTAAAGTAGACATACGAAACAAAAAAGAGATTACAGCCAAATAACATTAATATCATCACCAGTGCTTTAAATTTTAGTTACGTGCGTCCTCATGGCATTCTCCTGGAGGATCGTAAATGTCACCACCACATCCTCACACTGTTTAAAGCACTAATGAAAATTCCAGGTGCTTTGCTTGATGAGCAAAAGCTTGATAGCGCTGCCGTCTCAGTGGCCTTCAGATCTAATTTCTTTCATTAGTTGTATGCTCAGGTATGAAGTTGGATCTCGAATTGCTTCATTTACAGCCTTCTCCCAACATCGTTACATGGAGAGGATAAATATGAATGATGTTTTTGCCAGGTCCTTGAATATAAATTTTGAGTCACTTTATCGAGGGCTTTCTACTGCTAATTTCTCTTCTGTGTCTAATTTCATAGATTTTGAAATTTTTACTGCTAATTTTTTTTTCTTCAAAGCATATTTTTTTTCATACACGATTCCAAAACTTTTTTGTCACCATTGAATGATGATTAACTTAGGAAGACGGCTCCGGTTTTTATACCTCGTTCGGGGACACTGAACTGCGATCCCACTTATGAATTAAAAATGGGCATTTTCGATACTTCGTCAACGAGTCGTCAACGCTGTCGTCTGCTAAACTCTAGGGAGGAGTTAGAACAAAAAGTGAACGAATTTACCCAAGCATTCGTTTCATATAACCGAGAGTATCAGTGTCAAATGAATGCAGAGGTAACGAATAGAGTAATTCAAGCTGTCAGAGATTTTCTCAATTGAAGTGTTAGAATATTCTGTGAAACGTTTTATGCCGGGATTTCGCTATAAAATATTTAACAGAACATTCTAACTGATTCCAACTCGAAATAATTCGCAAGATAATTCTCTTATCATCCTTTCCACTATCATTATCATTATCCTAACTAATATAAATAGAAATATTGGAACAAAAATTATGTTTTACTTGCAGATTATGTTGTAATAAAGAAAAAATGCTGCTTTAAAGAAAAGTTCTGTGCTGTCCACCTCAACCGTATTTCAGTATTACTTATTGTCCATACATCAAGTATCATCAGAGGTTGGTAGTTCTTAACTATATCGTTTTCAGGAAGAAAGAAATCAACTGAAAGCAGCACAAAAGAGTCCAAATTCACCAGATGCATTATCACCTCAAAGGAATGCATAACACCTTTTCGGGACTTTACAGCAGAAAACATACAAGAGATTATATGATTAAGAATGTTCAGGACTGTAGTGACCGAACATACTGTATTTTTTATGGTGATCAATTTATTTTTTTTCAATCTCAAATACTCCTAAATGTTTAATATGTTACAATATTCGAATTACAAGTATTCCCAATTTATCATATTATACACACTCTAGGCCTGAATAATTTGGACTTTTTAAAACAGAACAGTTAATAAATTTAAGTTCAACTGTTCCTCCTACGAAAAAAGCATTGAAAGGTCGAAAAAAAAGCCAGCGATCTCGAAATCTTATTTCTTGATTGAAGTTTTTAGCTGTAGAATTTTGAAGCCCTGTCGATAAAATTATCTCTTAGCACACTGTATATACAAGTACAAATAAATTACTACCAAAATAATTACACTTATTACTTATTATTAAAATCTTATTATTATTAAAAACTACCAAAACTTATTACAAGTTCCCTAAATATTAGGCTTTGAAATTAAAAATAACAAACACTGAATTGTATTAACTGATAAATAACGTTTGACAAATTTCTTTACCAAAATTATGCAAGGTTTTAAGAGTTATTAATTAGCTCGTTAGCAAACATTTTTGCATCCTACAACAATAATTCCCGTTACTTTGCATCATCTTAAATTTTGAGATTTTCTCTTCCGCGGTAATCTTCCACTTTTTCAAGTTGTTAAGGAAGAAAACACAAATCATTTATATCGTTCGACTTGTTTTTTAAGTTGCCGCAAACAGAAGTCTAAAAACAGGTATATAATAGCATGATATCATATAAACGAAAGTGAAACTTGTTCAATATTGTTTAAAGCTAGCAATTCCTAGATAGGTGAGCATATAAAAATTCAAATGAGCTGATATAGGAAATCCAGCAACTGTAGTTTGCTGAAATATAGTTGAAGTAATAATGTTGAAATATACAAAATAATAGTGTTGAAACATATAAAATTCCGCGTCATGAGAGAAATCCTGAAAAACAAAAATGACAGAATTTCAAATTTATCGAATATTCTATTACGTAAGAATCACTAGCACTATGAATTATATTAAAAATTCATCGCTATTTCGGAACAAGCTTATAATTTTTATCGTTATACTGTTAATCACTAAAATTAGGAACTAAATTATTGAAAAGTAATGAATAAATTTTAATTTCACACATTTTAATAAGCGTAATATCACTAATAACAAAGAAAACCGTTACACTGAGAGGAAATTATTCGCAATAAACCAACAAATCAGTAAAATAAATTTATTGTCAAGAAATAACAAAGTATTCTATTGTGAAAAAAGCAACAAATATAACTGTACCAGTCCAGTCACATCCGTCCTAATTCATCTACCAATTTTATTGCTCTTATCTATATACTTTATTGTACAGTACCGCGACCAACATATCAAAAACAAAAAGAAAAGAATCAGAAAAAATTCATCCTTTAAAAAATCAAATCAAGGCTTAGAATTCCTGGAAATAATGAATCATCTTTACAAAAATTTTAATGAAATTTTCATCGTCTTCAATTAGTTCAACGGCAACACATGATGATTTTTTATGGACATCCACAAAAACCTGAAGTAGAGAAAACAAGATGTCATTAAAATCTGGCAGTAACAAATTGCGCACTGAACGTATCTGAACCTTTGATGCCTCTCAGCTGAAGTGCTTTTATAGATTGAAGTTCTTTTCTTAGCTTTTTACTTCAATCAGGTTAAGGCGATTTATAATTCTAGAATCTGAACAAAAGAAAAGTTAATAAACTTTTCGTTTAAATCTTTCCATAATTCTACTTTGGAAGATCAAAGGTAAGGCATTAGTGACTCTATCAAGTTTAGGCTTTCATTTTCATTCGCAACCAATTTTGGAACTTCTGAACAACAAAAAAGAAAGCCGTAGAAATGTAATTTTCTTATGCCTGTTGTTAATTCACTGATAAAAGTGATAAATGAGTTTACTTTCTCTTTGATAAATGAGTTTACTTCTTTCATAGATAACGTAAATATAACGTGTATCTACGTGTAGATTCCTTGCTGATACTTATTTCAGCTCATCTACACTTTTTCTAAGTAATGGAATGGAAATAAAGCACTTCCGGATACTAACGGATGACAGGTGACAGGTAAAGCAGTCTCAACTCATCCACAGAAATAGTCTAAACACTGAAAAACTTCCAACTATCATTGTACTCACCTGCCTCATGTCTCCTTCCTTCCGGAACTTGTACTGGGAAGCCTATGCATCATACTGAATAACTCATCCGCTCTTCCTCTCCTCCATTACCAGCTGTCCCCTAAAAATCTACTTCCCACAGCGGATAATTTTACTTCTCTTCCCCTGGATAATGCATAAACACACGCATGCATACATACATACATCATACACATACACACGGACACACCCAGACACATATAGATACCCAGATACATACCCACACAGATGTACACATATACCCAACGAGAATGGCCTTCCCTTACTGATCTATAGGGGCAGGACTCACCCCCGGGCAGAAAGGGTTGCTTGCTTTCATACTTCCCTGTGGAGCAAGAAAGATTGTTTGCCCGTCATTGTAGTAGCATTACCCAACCACCCACCCATTCCTCTGTCCCTCATCTAATTCCATTTGCATCTTCCCTTACATGCGTATATATTATAGCAGTGCGATGATGAGAGTTGCCTATATCTTCCCATGCTTTGTCTAGTCTAAAGCGTAAGGTCAAAAGTCATGCCTCGACCTCAGTCCTACTACTTTATTGCCCACGCGCAGATATATTTGTGCTTTATCGATGGATCACATCATTTCCCCAAGAAGTATCCGTGCTGAGGGGATTCCTAACTAAAATTATCCGTTGAATGGTTACCATTGATTTCTCCATCTGCAAAATGATTATGTTACAGTGATGGTCGAGTGAGAATGGCCTAGTATTTGTGGAGAGGGGAAGCAGTATGGGCCTAGGCTTTGATTACTGATTCTTCCGAACAAATTGTCATGAATAACAAACCTGCTATCCACATAACATACAAGAACATTTCGCCCTGACCTATTAACCCTTGAAAATAACTGTTGCAATTTCATCGGAATACGCGATTGTCCTTCCTTATCAAATGAGAAGCTATTATGCAGCCAAATTAAAAGGTATCTACCGTATTATGAATGTAGTGAATACCGCAATGATAGGTACAAGAGGTCGAATAATTCCGGATATGACCACATTTGTTTTCAGGTTCTGGATGACTTCATTAAAGTCGTCAACCATGCGGGATGAAAGGATCAGCACATCATCGCAATTGTTAACACCACTGATAGATTTCGGGGAACCAGAAGAAAAACGAACTCGACGTAAGCCAAATTTCACAGTGCAAGAGAGGATGCATCTTGCACAATCGTATGTGGAAAGCTACGAAGAGTACAACCGGGTAAGTTATTTATGAGGAACTGTATTAGGGGTAGAATTACCTGAAGAATCTTCTTGTGCATTGCTTAGCTATGGGGAACGGTAAGACCTGCAAACATCAGTATCAGTAGTGGTGAAAAATTGAGTGGAATAAAAGAATCATAACTGCTGATCCAGAGAAGACGAATAATCAGTTACATTAACAATGCTAATAATAATGATCAAATAAATATAGCCTACTAATAACCTCTTTAATTATGATTTACAAATGATGGAATAATAATATTTCTTAGGGTTTCACGCCTACAACTAAAGGAGAAGCTAAAATTGGACGTCAACGTTTGCTTGAACGATGGGCTGCCGAGCTATCCAGTTTTGGTATCGTTGAGCGGACGCCAGTTGAAGTTGAACAGAAGATAAGGTTATATATTTGCAATAAACTCCTCCGTTTTTCGATAATAGTAAATTCAATACTTATATCACTGTTCACAATTGGATAGTACAATGATAATGATATGGATAACCCTGATGGATCTTTTGCTGATACCTTTTTTCAGAAAGATTTTTTTGTCTAGACTTGAAAAATTTAATACTTTGTTTTATTATTTTTAATATCGACAGCCTGCTACCTTATATTTAATGTTAGGCCACTACTGGTTGGCGATCAGCTTTTTTGTATATCGCTAGGTGCACTGAGCTGTAAGATAGGGAAAATCATAGGAAAATCAAGAATGTAAATATTTGCAGAGATTATATGAAAAAGATAGCAGCGAACCGAAAACGGACAGTGAAAAGGGCTATGAGTCCTCCATGTCAATTGATAAGTTCCGTTGTTTCGGAAAGTTCTACAGTAGACGATTCAACAGCAGATGATTCATTGACCGCATATGCTGGTTTTTTGCTAGAACAACACAGAGCAACTCAGAACGATTGCAATGAGTTAGTTGTTTTTCTTTCATTTTTCAAGCAATCTGATTCTGTCAGCAAAATGTTATAAAATGTGGCTTTTTAATAATGAACGGTGTTAGTCTGTAAAAAAATACAAAACAAGACGTATATTTTTTGATTTGCAGTAAGATTTTGCAGTTTTTGAAATCGTCTAGAACTATTATTCATCATATGAACACAGATTATTTCATATAGTGCACATATCCTACATCAGTTCAAGTGTTATTTATTGAATGTTTGCGGAATTTTTCCGTTGCTGTTACTACTTTAAATCAGTTTAAAAATGAAGTATTAATAGTTAATGAAATGCAGAAGGAAAGATTAGTTTTCATTAACTTCATAGCTTGTACTTACTATTAGAAACAATTGATGATTAGTAATCATGTCAGAATTTTATAATTTTATGGATTTTAAATCGAAGCTGTTCATTGTCATCACTTCATTTCGAACTTACTGCTTTATTATTCTGTTGGACAGAATGAAAGATTTGTTATTGGGAATCCGAAATATAACACATACGGCTAGATTTCTTTGCAGGAATTTTGAACCATTAGAACTTGTAAACAGTAGCTACGATGTCGAGGAAGCTAAACCAAGAATAAATAACACTTCACTTTTCTGTCTTGAATTAGCGAACAATATGCGAAATAGCTGTCGCAAAAGGTGTGTATTGTAAAGTTTGTTGGCGCACTTTTACGTTTTCATTTGAAGTTTTAAAAAACATCGAGATACACAATGTAAAGAGTATTCTGGCGTATATTTTGTAAAATCACTTGAATGAATGACAGAATAACTTAACTAAGCCAGTACTATAGGAATCTTTACAAATAGAATTTATCACATATGATACCATACAAACTCTGATATTTAAAGATGCAAAAGCGAATTTGAGATCAAGAAAGTAGTTAGTTAACAAATAGTTATAATATGAGAAAATATTGACTTTCCAGGAAAATATGCGATATGAGTTCTTTTCCTAATGAAAAGGAGCAACCGCTGGAAATACTGGAAAGCAGTGATGAAGTTGTTCCTCCTTCATCAGAGATGCGTAAACAACAGATGGATTTTGGTCCCATTGATTTGGCACTGAAAACTGTATACATAGAAATCGCCAGGAAAGAACTTGAGAAGAAGACACTTGAAGTGGAAGCAATGAAGGTTAATTTGGAAATCAGAAGACTTGAATTGGAGGAGAAGAAGCATGATGTGGAAAAAAAGCGCCTTGAATTGCAGAAACTACAAAAAGACATTATTAGGGACCCACTAACCAGTTCAAGAGAAAGTAGTGGAACTCCTGGAGGTACACCTGTCACTGATCAATTTGATCCTGAAATTGAATAGTGAAGTCTTTTTCTTTTGAGAAGAGTATCGACATTATTATGTCACTGTACAATCAGTTAATTTATTATAAATTTTTTTGTAGTATATGCTAGAATAATCGGACTTCTCAGTCTGGTTTTGTTCAAATATATGTGCTAGTGTTTCAGTTATTTGTCTGCTAAGCTAATTTAAAAATGCTCAGATATGACCACTTTACATTATTCCAAGAACTTTGGTACTGCCCTGACTAAATCTTGATCGTTTTTTATACCTTTTCATGGTAATAAATAGCGCTAGAAGTCAAATTCATCTGGGCAGGCATCTCACAGATGACTTGTAGCGACGATCTATTCTCATTCAAATCTTTCAGGCACAAGTTGAAACCATAAGATCTAGAAATCACTTAGCGTAATAGTTCTGAGCTTGCAATGGTATTGGGAGTTTTGTTATGCCGTTAGGGAAATAAGTCTGAATTTTTATCTTCTTCAGAACACATCTGGACATTTACCACTTATAAGTGTTTTAAATGAGCTTTAATCGGATTTCTTTGTCTTTATTTATTCGTGAAAGCTTTTATGCTGTAATGAATTTTATAGATCTCTTTCATTTGTGTTAGATTGTTCTTTTCTGAATTTTGTGGACCAAAAGGCTACTTTGAAAAAGGATTCTTGATTGATAAATACGAAAATGTTTATACCACAGCACATTTCCTAGCTTTGTTGGCAGTAGGACATGAATGCGTGTATTTTAGAATTTAGTAGTTTATTGATTCCGAAAGACGATGTTACTTTATAAGTGATACTTTATTAGCTGTGGTTAAGATTGGAATTCTGGTTACTGATTAAAACGCATGTACTTTATTAATCATGCAGTTAAATGCTTAAATTATGAAGAAAAGAACGGTATTATAAAGTTTTATTTAGCTTACAGACTTAGCAAATAGTTTCGGGAATTCTAATTAGGGAAGCTAAGAATGTTGGAAGATTCAGAAGCACAATTCTTCTAAAGCAAAAATTATTTTTGCTATCGATGGTATATTTCTGATTCCCAACTTTGTTACGTTCTTACGAAGCACTATCACAAACATTTCAAACGTTGCAAATGACATTTTTTGAAAGACGAATTTTATGGTTAAAGTAAGAGTTAATAACCTTAATAGGAATGGAAAATGATGATCCATCTTATCACCTGGTCACAACGATCCATGCAAAATATCACTTATCAAAAATATATAAGGCTAAAATAGAGGGATCAAAAAAAACACCGGCGAGACATGGAGCTAATAACTCCTCGCTCGTCTCCTCCTTACAAACTGTTAGCAATGAAAATCGAGGCCTATTGTTGAAATTTCACGGACCTTAAAATATTTTAATTTACGAATGTGAGGTTGGTAGATGAGCCTTCAACTTTTTAACTTCAATGAGAGCAAAATATAAGTGATTTATTGTGACTCAATCGCAGAATTATATCCGACCTGCTCCATTATTTCAGTAACTTATTCGTGCTGTTATTGTTGTTGTTTTAAACAATTGAAATCCTTGATGAAATATGCCCATTTTTCAGAATCTTGAGAAATGCTTTTAACAAAATAGCTTTACATATCCCAATGAAAATTAGGAAAGACAGTCTCGCATTTCGTTTCATGTAGGTTGTTTTGGTTTCTTTTTCTTGAAAAGAGTCTTGTACTTGTTATGGTAATGCATAAGTTTCTTAGATATCGTATATATAATACCAATTGCTTTGGTGCGTGGTATACCAAGCGTCAACTAAACAAAGTTCATGAAAGACGTCCAGATGGACATTCTTCAGTTACCACATTCACTTATGGAGGTACTGTTTAAAATTTCACTCTTATATGTGACATTTTCTGAATAGACCAATTCATTAAGACTCTGGTGTATTAAGATGGCTCATAATATTAGTATTATCGCTTTTATATTTTGGATACAGTTATTCATTTTGAATGAACTTTTTCAATCTGTTTTTACTATGTTGTTGGTGGTAATGGTAGTGGCTGCAACTGAGAAACTGTAAATATGATAATCCACAAAGTATGATTTCAGATATTACTGTAACAGCAGTTCCACAAAACAGTGATAATTATAGTTATATGGTTATCTGTGGATCAACTAATGACTGTGTTGTTATCGATGTTGGCGATGCACAACCCATATTACAGTGTTTGAGCGATGAAAATAAAATACCTCAGGCAGTACTTGTCACCCATAAACATTGGTATATGTTCACTGTATCTCCTATATAATTGAATTTGAGGATGATATTTGGAAATTTCAACTACGGTAGCAAAATGTTTCATTTTCTTCCTGTAGGGACCACTGTTACGGCAATAAACAACTGAAAAAGCGGTACAAGGAATTGAATATTTATGGTGGCGAAATTGATCGACCCGCTAACGTCAATAAGTAAGCTTAAGAGAAACAAATCATTATGTATTTTACTAAACTTTAGCAAAATACCATTTTTGAGTAGTTCAATACTTCTGCTGTCTAATAAATACCTGTAGCCCAGTTACAAATTTAGGTCATATAAATTTGTAGGACTCTTCCATGCGCAAATCCGTTTGACGAAACAATCTTTCTGAATTGATAGAATCGTTTTTGTAGATTCACAAATTGTTATATCCGACTTTTGATGATTTATGAAGATTACCTTGATTTGTCATTCTTCAGGTATGTTCGAAATGAAGCTTTGATCCAAGTTGGAAGATTGCATTTCAAAGCATTGCATGTCCCTGGACACACCGCTGGCCACATGATTTATGCTTTGCAGTTAAATGATGAACTGAAGTGTTTATTTACGGGAGATTTCCTGTTTATCGCCGGGATAGGTATATTTGTAACCTGATATGATTTTATATGTTAATTATATTTTAAACTTGTATAAAAATTATCTAATAAAAGTGGAAGGAAAATTTAGATGAATTGTTCAGGTAAAATCTTCGAAGGAAGCACTTCACAAATGATTAGTTCTTTATTGACGCTGAATGATTTTCCTCCAGATACCATCATCTTCCCTGGCCATGAGTATGCAAAGCTCAATTTATCTTTTGCTTTGTCACTAGAAAAAGATAATGAGGTACTGAAAGCGGTGAGCAAAGCAGTACATGAAAAACGGACCACCCGCTCTCCCATTGTAAGTTTATATACTTTCGGAGTTTGTTTGTTAAATTTGGTTTTTAATGAATCGAGGGCGAAGAATTTGGTATTGTATTGCTTCTTGAAAATAGGTTAATCAGTCCATAATTAAATTAATATTAAATTTGGACGCGTTTCAACACAGTGGTCATAAATCTAATCGCATTCATAAAGATAAAATCGTAATCTGATGCGTGATATATCGCTGTGACGATAGATATATTTTAATGTAATATCTGCATGAATCTGCCGAACTTAAAACGATAAACCGAAAAGAAAGATCGATGAAAAAGAGTTGGTTACTTCATGTATAATTGGAGTATTCAAAAAACTTAGGGACATAGCAACGGATCCAAGTGCAAGCTATTTTTTGAAACTTCGTGGATAGTATTGGCCGAGAACAGTTCTTACATTTAGCTTTATTAATTTTCTTGGATAACAACTCTTTTTGTTCACTTCATCAAACAATGTAGATCTTTTCATATTCTTATCTTTATTATGACGAATAATGAATTAGATTGATATTCATGGCCATTTTGTTGAAATATATCATTGTATCCTAATCTGATATTAATTTAACTATGATCTAATTAATTTCTTTCCTATAGCATAACTTACTATTTGATTTTTTCCTTGTTTTGTGACCTGCAATGTTCTTTGTTTGATGAATTCCATAATTTGTCGTTGGTTTCTGCACAAATAATACAAAATAGTTACAAATACAAATGAAAAAATATTCTTAAACCTAAATCTTGAAATAGGACTGGAGATTTGGTATCTTAAATTAATATCACTCTTCATCAATGATAGCGAGTTCAGCATTCAATGATATCACTATTTAGCTGAAAAACCACTTTATATTTAAACAATACTTCTTATCACATAAAAGAGTTCAAGATAAGAGGCAAAATATTCATCTTAACTATTGTATTCTTATGAAAATGCATTACATTTTAGCCTTTGTTATTCGTCTTCTGAATCAGATTATGTTTCTCCTATTTTTTCTCTTCTCATTTCCTATGCAAAGCCTTAACAGTTTTATTCCCAGAGTGCTTCTGAATAACCTCGGTTATTCAGAGAACTCCCTAGCTGCATCAGACAACTCCCTAGCTGCATCAGTATTGATTTTCGGAAGGATAAGCCTTCTCAAGAAAAACGCTTGAACACATTACTAATCTCATTTACTATTCATTTAGGTATGAATTTCAATATTTCTTTCTTTCTCGCATGGCAATATCAACGAGACTCATACGTTATGTTATGCCCTCTAGATAACTTACTAGTTAAGACAGTATGAAAAAAGGTTTTTCATAAAAGAATAATTATGTAATAAACAATACAATCATACCGGAACTTGTACATCATAAATGTATGAATAATATCTTTTTATACTGTAAAGAAAGTCGTCATATTTTGCATTTTTTGACATTCTGATAGTCATTCTTTCTTCCCTTGTGAATAATAATGTTTTGCAAATTATAGAGACTGTTAACTTTCTATTAATAGTCTGATGATTTATGGTTAGAATAAGTAGGGTTGAGTCCGCTTTCTTTTGATTATGTTATTTATACGCATCATTTGAAGTATATGATAAATGTCGGTATAATGCAAATTTTAATTTAATCTTGGATTAACAAATTTATTTTGCATTCGACAAGGGAAGGAAATGATTTTTTCATCTCTTTAAGAAATATACCTTTAGAAAAAGATAATAAGTAGTGATTTGCATGTTATACAATTTCCATTGTAATACTTTGCTGCATTTCTTTCGATGCTTATCTGTATATAAAAAGCAATTTCGCTTATCCATTATTACTCATTCAATTCAAAACTTATATTTGTTTTGAAAATATTTTTAAAAAAAAA